TCACTCTTTAAATGAGCGTAAAGCGGAACGAGAGAGATGCGCTAATTGTCGTAAAGACTAGACCAAGCTTTTTATTTGGATTGTCCGATTTTTGCATATTTGAAATTGCTGAACACTGTTTGCGCCTGTGCCAACATACAGACAATTAGCTTAAAGATTGATTAGGCAACAAAATATTAGGAGAGTTGAGGATGTCTATAGTTTTTTGTTTTTTTTTTTTTGTTTACTCGGTAAGGGAGATTAGAAAGGATGATACTGTGATTTTCCTTTGTCCACCCGATTAGGGTAGTGATTCAATCTCGGAGATTTTGGACAATTCTGACCGGTTAGATGGGAATCAGTTCAGGTGGAGGAATAGGGATTAGATCTTTTTTGAAAAAGAGGGATTTCGCTCGTCCCATGAATAGAGGGGCGAACAACTTTTCTTCTCCCAGACTTCTTAGTTTCTAATGATCTGGATGGGGTTTCTGAGACTGGAGACGGTCCCGCCACTCGAGATTTGAATTTAGAGTCTAATAAGCGTATGGATTCAAAAAGGGTGGGAGGTAAAATTTATTTGATCTTGGAACCGAGTGCCATGCCTCGGAATGTTATGAGGGAAACTACTATTCAAATGTATTTTATACTGTTGGAGGATAAGTTGTCCAGAAATAAGAAACTGCGAAACATAGCTAAACTCACAGCGAGTTACTATCGTAAATAATACTGACTGTTACGGGCTCGACTGATTTATCGTGTTTCCAGTAGAATTGCTTATTATCTAAGATCTTATATCTAAGATGAATTAATTTTCGAAACTGGTTCTCGAGTATGATATTGTTGCACTTCAAGAGATCTGGCTCAGATCAAGAACGATAACATCATATAAAGAATACACGACTTTTAGAAACGATAGAGCAAATGATTTGGGAAATGGAGGTGATACTGCAATTTTTTGTAGATCTTTACTGGACCTCTCATTAGTCAATCTTAATGTACCTAATAATAAGGGAGTATATTTACATATAGACTGCCGGATATTAATATGAATAGGGATAATTGGATATTTTTAACTATTTCTTGTCTTTTACTCAGATATATAGTGTTGCAATTTTGGGAGACTTCAATGTCCAAAATGACTTGTGGGGCTCTTCCAGAGATAATCCGGCGAGCAGGTTTTTCATAGTGACTGTTACGAATTCCTCTTTGCTAATCTGGAACGATGCCAGGAGTACTAGAACTTCTGTCGCTGAGTACCGTATATATATTATCGGGTCTGGGTTCAATTTCAAGTTAGTCGATTTTGGAGAAACCACTTAGCAGTGATCTTTACCCTATAATTATTAAATTTCATTCGAGGAACGTTTCGGTGAATTCTCTATCGACCATTTACAAACTCAAATTAATTTTTAATAAATTTGATAAAAACATTTTTAAAGAAGAAGTAAAGAAAGAGGTGAATTTACTTCAATCATGTAACCTTATGGGATCATTTTTATATGAGACTTGATATGATTCTATCATGAGGGCTTTTTTTGAATCGGGAGGAGTTTGTTTGGACAGTCTAGGTAATTTGTTAGATAAACCTGGACTTGGGTTATAATATCATTCAGAGATGTAGTACTACATTCAAAAATAAAATGGTTCCATGGTGGAATGAATCTTGTTCAGAGACAGTCAATAATAGAAAAGAGGCTTTTTTGAAACTAAAAAATTCTCTATCAAGAGAATCTTTAGCCAATTACCGTAAGGCTTCATATGAAGCTAGAAACATTATTGCTGAGAGAGAGATGGGGAGGGGGAGAAGGGAGGGGGAAGAGAGGGAAGAGAGGGGAGAGAGAGAGAGAGAGAGAGAGAGAGAGAGAGAGAGAGAGAGAGAGGTTCCGTGAATTTGTTAATAAGGTGGATCATAATCCACACTCCAAGTCATTTTGGGATATGATTAACACTTTTAAAGATTGCGCTTATAACAACCCTATTAACTCTTCTCGAATGTCGTCTGAAGAACAGTCGGAATTGACTATGCACTCTTACAAACTTGGCTCTCCCTTGGTGTGCTAATAAGTTAGAGGATCCCATCGGTGATGATTTGAATCAGAGATTTTTTCCGCCCTTTGATATGAATGAATTGGTGAATATAATTAAGACGGCCAAAGTCAAAAGTGCGTCGGGATCGGATTTGATTAATATCTTATTAATTTCCTCTTTACCACAAGAAGCTTTGAAAATTCTGACTGATTCTTTCAATCAGATGATGACCCATGGCAAATTTCTAGAATCATGGAATAGGTCAGATACAATCTTAATTCCTAAACCGAATAGCAGGGGACTAAGACCGATATCTCTAACCTCTAGTGTGGAGAAAATTTTTGAACAACTAGTCATTAGGAGATTTGATCAATTGATAGAATTGGAAAATGTGATCCCGATATCACACTACGGTTTTCGAAAGGGACAATCCTGCGATCACTGTTTGGCTCTCATTAACATAAACGCATACAAGGTTTTCATGAGTGTAGGATTACTAGGAGCTCTCTTCCTAGATATTAAGGAAGCCTACGATAGTGTGGACTTGTCGATATTGTTTGGACTTATCAATGGGTTATCGATACCTCTAGGCTATAAGCGTTTCTTTCATCATTTTCTGTCTCCTAATACAGTAAGTTTTTATAACTTTGGAGCATTTTATGGAGAGTGTACAGTGCTCCCTCGGGAATCGGATCTGAGCCCTATATTATTCAACATATATGTTAACCGAATTATTTTCAATTCCACATAATTGCTCCTCTATTCAGTTCACAGAACGACTTCGTGATTTTGTGTAACAATACCAATCCAGAGATAATTGTCAATCACTTGAGATCGGCCTTTGAAAGCGTTGACTCCTGGCTTAATTCGATTAATTTAAATTTAGAAATAAGTAAGACTCAATTCACTATATTTCATAGAACGAGAAAACATACTATACCAAATAACATTCAATTAAATGATAAGATTGTCCTAGTCTCTAATTCGATAAAATATTTAGGTCATAGACTCGCAGTTGAGATGGAGGGATCACTTGGTAGAACTGAAACGAAAATCAGCCAAGTTTGTAAATATATTGAAATAAATAACAGGATTATCATAGGATATTAGACCATCAAGTATCATTATGTTTATTAATGCGACAATTTTGACTCAGTGTGTGTGGGGCTCCTTTTGGTTTACTAGCGCGTCTAAATCATACATTAAGTAAATTAATAACATGTGCAGGACATATAAGTTAGCAGTAGGATTCCCCAAAACTTCAGCAAATATTGTGTACTGGAAATTTTCTAAACAACACCCTTTTGAATCCAGAATAGCGAACTGGCGGACTGTTTCCTTTTAAAATTTATACAGCTCAAACATTCAAATATAATTAATAAAATTAGTCATCTATCATTTTTAATTTCGCATAAAAAAATAGCTAAAAGAAATATTCCATACATATTATATAGATGGAATATTAAACCAGAAATCAACTTGGATTCTGTCAAGGGGATGTGGCAACCCGAATAGAGCCTTCACAAACCTGACTGCATTCAAGGCTGCATCTATTGAAGAGATCCGTATATTTACGGACGGATCATATTCATTGGATAGTAGTACTTATGTGGGTTGTACTTTATAAATCCCATCCATGAATTTAGTCAAGGATACTCGTTGAATCCTATCTCTAGTTCTTTCGTGGTGGAAACATGGGCCATTTTGGAGGTATTAAACCTGATATAAGAGAGGAAAATTATTTACTCTAATATATATACAGATTCAAACTATGGGGGCCTAACTATCTAGACGTTGCAGCCTAAATAGTAAAAATGAGTTAGAAATATTCCAAGCGGACCTAGGCTGCAACTTTTAGGCGGTTAGGCCCCAAGCAAGTAGGATATGATATTTTTTTTGTTCGGGGCGGCGTAGCCGCTAAAATTGGAAAAATTTTTCTTAATTGAATATAATTTATCCCACAGCTAATAAGTACTAGTCTATACACTCCACTGTCTACATGACAGATTAATGGTCGTATTACGTAGTAACACTTTAATCAACTTTAACGCTCAATATCTCGCTTCGCGCAGAACAGTTCCGGACATTTTTCTATCAAATTTTTTTATTTTACACAAAAACACGTCGAATGAGTCTAATTTCATTGAAATAGGAGGTGAGGAAACTCTTCTGAAGAATTACCAAATTTGCTTTTATTTGATAGTTACTATTATTGTTCTAGGGCCTAGATTGGTTAATAATACACTTTTTACAAAAAGGCTAATGAAACATCCACCTTTTTTTGCGTAAAACCTAGAATTACGATTTACGCAAAAAGACTAGACGTTTTATTAGCAGAACGTGTATCATTAACTAATAAGGCCAATGTGAGTTAGCCTTTTCGAGTAAAGCCTAAGTGTATCAGCCTAATTGAGGAACTATCATTGATTTCTCAAAAAGGCGCCGTTTAATTGCGTAAAGACTTTTCGTGAAAAGGGTAATTTCACAAAAAGGCTGCGACATACATACCCCGTTCGGAATTTTTCAAAGTCAATTTTGTTGACAATGACTGAGAAGTACATCTTACTGCTTGACCAAAGTAATGTCTGGGTGATACACTTTACGTATCATAAGTTTCAAATTTTTCAAAATTCCGAACGTCTGAGCCTCTTTTTGTTAGAATATTTTAGAAGTCACATATATGAAAAATTCTAAAAAAGATTCAGAGGGAGGTTTTCTCAATATTTCTGAAAAGTGCTTCAATTTACAAAATTATATAATTATATGTAGAAATTTTGAAAAATTTTCAGAGATTGCCACTAGAACCAAGTCTGTTATTTTGTAATTATTTAAATGGCCGTGAAATGGCAGATTCTGCTCAGTTTCTGCACTCAATCTGCCATCATATTCAATTAGCAAATTCTCTCGATACATTCTGACGATAAAATTTATAGCAAACACTTTGCGAAATTTGTTTTTGAAAGATTTGGCTATCTGGATATAAATAATCATACCATCTTTAACGTTGGCATCTTCTGGAAAGGAACTATTGTACTGTAGGAAACCGGCCTTCTCGAGGACACTCTTACTCGATTCAATGATCTCGACTACCTTCTCAGCTAGCATCGCGATCATTTTGTACAGACGCTCGTAATTGTCCATCTTTAAGAGAGTTTGCACGGCTTCTATGTGATCTTTTCGTCGTTGAGCAAATAATTTCTTAACTATTACAAAAAAATAGTTGACAGATAAAAAAGTAATAAATAATTAATTATAAATTATAAATTAATAAGTAACGATCCGCTGAACACAAAATAATAGTAACATTACATCAGTATTATGATTTTCTACTTAAAAATATGTAACTGTTACGTTACATTATTGTCGAGTGGGAAATTACAACATTGATGTAATGTTACTGTTAATCTGTTTTGATGAAAGTTAAAAATCGAAATAAAATGCAGAATAATAAAATATTTAGCATAAATAAGATAATATTATATATACTATGAGGTATTATATTTTAGAATAAGTAAAGTAAATGTAAAAAAATGTAAATACTTAATGTAACTTAAAGTAAAACATTCATGTATTAGTAAATAGAGTTGTTGTAGCAATGAAGAAAGCGCATTAATAACTCTAGACTTGTTCCTTACCATTACACTGGATTGCACTAAAACTTTTTATCTTGCTTTCGTTAAATTTCAAATATGTAATTATTTAAAACTACAATAGCGTAGCATAAATTATAAACAATAAATAAAGAAGCAAACCACACACAGGATGTTAGTAGCGAGAGTCGTATATTTAAAACATCAAAACTGTTAAAACATAAAAACGTTTCAGCCAAGATATGACCATCGTAAAATGTTTATTAAGCAAAATATTCTCTCTCCTCATCATTACATCTCTTAACAATGCAATAATATTTGCTTGAAAATCACAGAATCCGAAAATTTTTTATGATAACATGGCGATCATTAACACATTTACTGATTCATACAGTATAGAAAGTCATTGCAAAATGATTGCAGATATATCTCATTGCAATGTTGTAATATTACAAATAGATTGCGCAATGTATTTACAACATTGTTACAATGTCATAGCATCATAAAAATGTCCGCCTTTAACAAGATTGCACTGTAAGGTCGTAGCAATGTTACAGTGCAATGTATTTGCAACTATTATTAAAATAATAAAAAAATAATTTTTTATTATTACTAAATATATTGTAATTTGAAATACAATTTGTGATACAAATTTAAAAAATGCAGAAAAAGAACTAATCAATATATATTTTATAATATTATTATATTTTGTACTAAATTACAAATTTTATATGCAGGTATATATATTTTTTTTTATTTGACATATGTAAACATATATTTTACACTTTTTTGCAAATATCATATATTGTATATTTTACGCTTTGCACTTTACACAGGTACGCCTATTTTGTACATATTGTTAACTAGTGAACTGGAAATGATAAGAAATTCCACACATTCTATATCATTTTCTTTGCCCTGATGAAAATTTGTTTCAAAATTTTTCATATAATTTTTTAGAATTTCTATATAATTTCCTCACATTTTTTTATACGAATTGGAACATTTTTCAGAAATATTCAGAAATATTTGGAAAGTTTACATCTTCTCTCAGAATTTTTCATACAAATGAATTCTAAAATATTCTGAAATTTCTCATTCCATAATTTTTAAAAAATATTTAAAAATTTTTCAGATTTTATAACATTATTCATTAGAATCAAATGGCATAAAAAATTATACTTATAAAAAAATCTTATAAATCTTACGATATTTTATAATTAACATATATGCAAAATGGAATGAGAAAAATTTTCACCAGAGATATTCAAAGAATTTTTTTAATGCGTGTATTCTAAAAAATTATGAGAGTTAATTATAAAGTTTGAAAAATCTTGTCACGCAGCGGCAATAAATGTCTGCGTTTAGCAGAAAAAGCAACTAACTTTGCAACTAATATAAAATTCTTCAATATAATTGGTTTATACATTTAAATTCAGGAACTAAGGGAAAGACTAATCATATTAAAAAATTTTACAACAGTTGCAAAGTTGCTTTTCCTCTGAATGCAGTGAATGTTTCAACGAACACTATAATTTATACTACCATGTAGCATGTAATATCACAGAATATCACAGCAATATTGCATTGAATCAGAATTACATATTACGGTGAAATATCACTGATATTACTGATATATTACATATTGATAAATAACATAAAAATATTACAGTAATTTTATGGTACAATAATATTGCTGTAATTTATCAAAGTAATATTGTAGCAATATAACGTATTAAGGTTGTATCGCATAAGATCGACTTGTGGAGGGGATAATCGCCCGAAACGCCAGTGCATGAGGGTACTGTTCGGTGGTGAAAAAAATTACTGTTCAAAAATTGCTGCAGACTGCAATTTTTGAACAATAATTTTTATTTCCCCACTGTGCGCTGATATTTGAGAATGAATTGATAAGCAAAGTGAATATCAGTGAAGTAGTAAAGTAATTTTGTAAATTTTTGTAATTAATATTTGTCTGATTATTCCCTATTTTCTTCGATTTAGGAAATTCGTTAATATTTATCTATAATCTTTAACTTTGTCTGTAATTATATTTATATTATCTATGCGTATTAATTATAACTGATAATTGTAACGCGTTTGATTTATAATTTCGTCCCAGATAGTAACGTGTCTGTCTTGTTGCTGGCTGAGTATGCATTGCTAAGCATGTGTTGCTACCAGAATTGCAGCAACTGAATCCTCATTTGTTGGCAACTTGATGCCTTCGCGATATGATAATTTTGAGTAGCAACTCACCAGCACAGTTGTCAATAATTTTAAAATCGTTATCATTAAAATTCATACTACTGCCATCATGTTATAATGTTAATAATGTTCAGCATCATATATTGTCATATTGCCGACAACAAGATAACATTGATACAGCTATCTCGCTGTTAAACTGCTAGCAATACATATACACATTATTATCTGCATATTAATTGTTACAATGCAGATATATTCGAAATTTGAAGACAAATCTATGGCAAGTTGCCAGCATCACAGATTTGTGCGATTTTATTGAGACACGCTTTGTTATCTGGGGTATTCGATTAATATTTTTATATAATTTACATATTGAAAATAGCAATATTTTGGTCGAACATTTATAATTTTATGTTTTAACAATGATGTTTTAAATATAAAACTTTCGCTATTGACATCCTGCGTGTAGCTATCTGCTTCTTTATTTATTATTGTGTATAACTATTTCTTTTTAAGTACAATAAATATACATTAATTCAGCTACAAAGAAACTTTCCATCCTTTTTAACTATATCTTTTCACATTTTACCCTTAGTAAATATTTTTCTCAGAATTTTTCACATAATTTTTTTAGAATTTTTGTATAAATTTCAGAATTTTTTAAAAGCTCTTATAATTAACTTAACTTTTTTAACGTAACTTTTTAAAAAATTTGTCAGATTTTTTTTTTTAATCAAATTGAAATACTTTTTAGAAGTGCCAAGAAAGTATATTTTCTTTTAGAAATCTTCATATGTGTAAATTTTGATATGTTCTAAAATTTCTTATTTTATAATTTCTAAAACGAAATCTATAAAAAGAGCTCAAGATGAGATATTTTGTTAGAAATCATAAAATCTTAGAAATCTTAGAAATTTTAAAATATTTTAGAATTCACATATATGAAAAATTTTAAGAAAAAATATACTGTAAGTACACTTTTTTAGTATTTTTAAAAAGTATTCCAATTCGTACAAAAATTCTGAGTGTGAGAAAAATGTTCTTTGGGAGCGTATTTAAAACAACGTGCAAGGCTACCGCTAAAAAAAATAGAAAAGAACAGTAAGTGCATCTGTGAATGACAAAGCTAAAAAATGATGAAAAAAAGAAAAAATGAAGCTCGCTTATTATTAACACGTACACAGCTCTTCATCAAGTCTCGATTTGGATTCGCCGCTCTTTCGTGGCTCGCTCGCGGCTGACTTGGCGATTTCCCGCTGCGCATGAGCGAGTATTGTCAACACTGACACAGCCACGACAACGTAAAGAAAAGTGTGCGGCAATCGACTCGTCCATGCGTGGAGCATCGCGATAAAAATCATCCAGTGAGCAACGGTTAGCAACGGTGTTCACCCCACTGAGACACCGTTGGAAGAGTATTAACCAGCGATACCGATCAATAATATATCTTATTCGAACGCAGTCACACTGCAATTCCACCACTGGCGACACTAATGCCACCTGTCGATGTACCAAACCGTCTGGAGCCGTTCTCTCCTTTCGGGCGTCTCTCGGTCCTTCAAATCATTGAGAATCAACATTGATAGTCTCGATATTCTCGATTTGTTGAATTCGTAGCCGGAGGAATGCTTGTACGCGACATCGCAATCGGATAAATGCAGCGTCTTCGTGGCTTCAACGGCTTTGTCGCCGATAACTAATCGTAGTAAGCGCGAATCGGCGAGCTGAGGAAACACGTGTGCATTCTGTTCTACCGCGAGCTTGTCGCGCGCGGACAAGGATCGTCGGCACGACGTCTCTTCCTTGATATGCCTGGAGTGCATCGCTCGCGAAATCGTCGACGTTACACTTTATCCTAGCTCCGATTAACGATTCTACCCTACGCCAGTCAGTGGCGAATATGGCGGCGATGGATGGCGAAGCGAAGCTCGACGCAAGTATCATCCACTACGATTTACCAAACGTCATCGTGTCCCGATGTCTGCTTACTGAGACTCGCTGTGACGAGTATAATCGAAGGATACGATTTCATAGATACATTCTTGTCAAACACACGTTGCTTTCAATGTTTTTTATTACATTCAACAGATGTATGATGATGTCACGTATGTTGTTGATCCTCAACATGTTGAGGGTGAGATGACAGTTGGTACAAAACAGAGGTCGACTTTAGGAGAACCAGAATTTAATACATTAGATGAACCTATTAAAGATACAATTGTAAGTAGATGTTTTGCTAACAAGAGACATAGATGACAATGCAATAATGAAGTATTTCATCCTTGTATAATTTTGAAGCTGACATCAAAATCTATAATGGGGGTTCTACAATGAGTCAGTAATCGGAAGCATTAACCAGTCTTAGGCTCGATTGCACCAATGTTACTTTGACTTTAAGCAAGGCTTAAAGCTCTCTCGTCTCTCTTTTGCTTTAAAACGAGACAGTTTTATTCTGGCTGAAGTAATATTTTTCGCAATAAGTTCTTTACCGAATTAATTGTAGGGGGTTATTTCATATATAGGAATGTCGGAATGTTTCGGCTCCTCATCATATTTATATTATTAGCGTCTAGATCGATTGTGGTTAATATCCGAATGTTTTGGCGCACAGTCACATTTGAGATAATTAAATTTAAAAATTAAAAATATATATTACATTCATAACATCTAACTTTGACCGATAATTGGTGCTCTTTACTACATGTATGTTGTACATTTACACAGTCAGATCTTATGGGTCTGAGCACAAGAATTGTCGTAATACTTACATAGGCCTGTTCTACAATAGAGTCGTAAGCAATATGCTGTAAGAAATTAATCATAGTCGATTATTCTTCTTGCACTTACCTGTGATTAGCCAATTTCTGACAACATGATTTGCCATATATTGTAGAACAGGCATTAGAGACTTGAGTTGTAGACGTAAGTAATGCACAAGCTTCGGCGTATGATATACGACTTATTACCATCTCTTGGAGACTTCTTGTGCTTAAACCTTATCTCTTAGTTTTAAGTTTGGCTTAAAGTCAAAGTAACATTGGTGCAACTGGTGTACCTTAATCCTAGTCGTACAAGTTGGCTATTGGCCAACTTCACTGATTAAGACTTAGGACTACTTAAGACTTCCAACTCATTGTAGAATTCCAGTAATACAGTTACTGATGCTGGGTTTGTGAAACTTATGTTTAATCTATATTGATTTATAATAACAATAATAATTTTATTGCATGCACCTACAAATTGAATTTAAACGATGTTAAAATTACAAAAATAGAAAAGAAAAAATATAAAGTATTAGTAAAAGGAGAGGCGACAGTGATACAGCTGATACAAAGTCTAACATGAAATTGAAAGGCACTAATTATTTTCAAGGAATCAATGGTATAATTAATATTTAAAAAAATGAATACGAAATTTATTTTTCTAGCAGTAATTCTCAAATTTGCAAAGAATATAATTGAGTAGATCATAGTAGACTTACCATTAGCTCTGGAGAGTTAATATTGACAAACAACAAAGATAAAAATGATTCAGTATTAAAGTACCATTTTAAAGACCACGATGTGAACAATAATTGGAAAACTACAACAATTGGAAAATTAAGCATTTTAACGTGAAAACAATTCCTTATGAATTTATATACTACAGTGATTCACTGTTACATTGCATCAACTGTGTCTCTTGCTGAAAACTTTTCAATAGTTAATAATTATATAAAATAGTAATAACTATAAAATTTCAAATAATAATATATATGGAGAGTAAACAAACTTTCAAATTTGAAAAAATAAGATCGAAAATGCACAGATCATTTCATTATGTCACGAAAAAAGCTAATCTGTTTACACAAGGCCACTTCGGTATGCATAGTTCTTATATTCAAGATTATCTTAAGTTCTTGAGATATTACGAACCAATCAGATGGCCACCTTATAAACCGTTTTAAGACATTACTTAAGATGGTCTTAAAATAAGAACTGACTATGAATACCGACCTTTGTAGCGCAACGAAATTAACCGTGCTTTAAAGCAATAAAGTCTGATTATACTAATGATTATAAAAACGATTAACTTTGATCTTGATTTGAATTGCTGTTCATCTTGTTTAATTTTTGAAATTCTTAGAATTTGAGAAAGATAAAGAATAAATTGAATCAAGACTTTTAAAGTTAATTTTACATTCGTAGAAACAGAATTAAGACATAATAATAATCTTTCAATATTACTATTTATTTGTAATGAATTATAATCTAAAATAACATACTGTAAATGAGCACCGCTATATCCGATAACTTTTAAACTTTCATGAAAATTTTTCGTTTGCATAAACTTTAATTGTAATCTAATTAAATTTGTTGCTTTGAATAAGGTACCTCAAGGAAAAAATATTTAAAACGAAATCTCAAAATATTTTTTAAATATTGAAAAATAACACATAGAGATATTTCAAGAATTATATTCAAATTTACTCAATATAATAAACTGTCATTCTTTTATAACAAACCATTGCGCACTGGAGAATTTCCTATAAGTATATATACTTTGACATTTTTATTGCATATGTGTGATATAATTATCATTCTATCTGATATAGTTGAGGGACGTTCGAGCGGTGGGCAAGAAGTTTTTCCATGTTTTATATCCTAAAGAGAAGAAAAGTTTACTGAAAGAATGTGAGTCTATGAATGACAGAACTCTGTTAGTAAAAAGGTGACTGATCATTATACAATACGTTTGCATATTTCAGGGGATTTATGGGGACCATTAATATTGTGTACTTTTATGGCAATGTAAGATATATTTATATAGATGTCATGGATATATATGAAAAAATTACATGTTGATTTACAATTGCACTACATTTAGGATATTGCAAGGTTCAACTGACATAGCAGATAGTTCAAACGATGGAGGGCCTGAATTTGCAGAAGTGTTTGTTATTGTATGGATTGGATCTATGGTTGTTACATTGAATTCGAAATTGTTGGGTGGAAATATGTAAGTAAATGAACTGTAAATTTTGACTTATTTGATTTTAATTATTGAAATAATTGTGAAATTATTATTTATGTATGATAACAAATATATTTAAATTTACAGATCTTTCTTCCAAAGCGTTTGTGTCCTAGGGTATTGCTTATTACCGACTGCCATCGCTCTAATTTTATGCAGAATCATACTAATAGTGCAGCAAAGCAGCCTTCTATTTACTCTTAGGTTGGTGATCAGCATGATTGGATTTTTGTGGGCAACGTATGGTAAGTATAACACCAATTCTAGTAAGATTAACTTATATCTTTCCATTATAAATCATTACCCAAAAGAATTACTATTTTAAAATTTATTAATATTTCAGCATCGATGGCATTCCTTGGCGACAGTCAGCCCACAGGCAGAAAGGCATTAGCAGTATATCCAATTTTCCTGTTTTATTTTGTTATATCATGGCTAGTTATATCCCACACTACATAAAACGCAACATAATAATTAATCTGTTACAAGACTGCGCATTGCTCCGACCTTCCGCGTAAATATCAGGAGATGACAAAAGATAATCAAAAGGTGATGCAATGTTTTTCATACATGATATTTTCCAAGTCCTGCATTTGGACATATTCCAATATTGTGCTTTTGTGAATAATACACAAGTATAATATAGACAAGTATTTATTATTATCTTACAAGGGAAACACCAGGTAACGGGGTCGGAGTTTTTGATGCGCTTTTTACAGGCTGTTCTTGAGCGAAAAAAAAAAACGATATGTGTCCGGCCGTTTCAGCCATTGGCCCATAGTTTCGAAGAAATCGATTTTACGTATCATTTTTTTTTCGCTCAAGAATAGCCTGTATAAAACGCATCAAAATCCCTAACCCCACCTGGTATTCCCTTTGTTAGTCATTCAATATGTCAATTATGATTATATTAAGAGACTTTTAATTATATTTAAATCTCACTAAATGCACACTGCAATTCAGATAAATTCTCAATGTCAATACAAAAATAGATTCTTTCTCCATGAATGGAAAATTTGTCAGATTGGTATATATTTATACAGACTTGATAAGAAAAAAAACGTTGTAGTATGAGTTCAACGTTAATTTAAACTGGATATTTCTTAATCTGGATATTTCTTAAACTTCCATAAATTTTTTGATCATTTATTGTTATTTTTTTTACCAAATTCCGATTTTAATTGTAACATTAAATTTAGAAGGTGTAGAAGTTCGAAGTACATTTGTATCTTTTGTATATTATGTACATAAATTACGTTTAAATCATATGTTACAATAAAATAATACAATATAGAATATAAGAAACTTTCATTGTTTATTTCATATATGTGAAAAGTATCTTTGCAACTTCCGTAAAAGTATCTTACTGTCGTAATGTATAGAATAAGCACTCAACGATTTTTGTACTGCGATATAACTCGTCTGTAGGTCTCCAACCTGTATATATATCGAACAAATATGTAGTATATGTTTGGCATCTGTCACAGTATATTGGAAACAATTACCTCGTAAGCTAAGTGCGCGCTATTGAAGTGCGCTTCATACACGTAACTAGCGATGTTAGCTGCTGCATGAAAATATGTTCTCGCCGCAGTAACGTTTCCGTTGCGCATTTCTATTACACCGAGATTGTTGTAAGCCAGAGCATGTCTGTTATCGCTTGCGATGGCTAGTTTCAAACACTCCTCGGCCATTATCAGATCACCCAGCGTCTGAAATGGCATCCATCTTATATAATTTGTTTTAAAACGATGATAAGTTGTACATACAATAGCAATATGAGAGATGTTGTACCACACATCAGCCACATTCTCATCAGTAGCGAGATTTAATGCTCTTTCGAAACATGATATAGTATGATCGTATTGCTGAGCATAGAAGCAACAAAGCCCGAGATTATTAAACAACTCCGCGTTATGTACGCCCATTTGCAAAAGGCGCCTGGAACATATATACGTTTATTTATCGAAATTTAATATTATGTACAGGATTGGGAAACAACGTCGTTACTTGTAACATCTCGTTGCAATTTTTTTCAGTAACGATGTAATATTTCCTTATTTAACGGTAACATTAATGGTAACTTTGTTGTTATTTTGTTATATGGGTAACGGTAACAGATACAATCGTTACTTTTATCACGTATTTATACACGTACAATACATGTGTATGGAATTTGCATAAGCGAATTTCAAAAGAAAAAAATTTGACCATATTTCCATTAATCACGCCATCATCACTATCATAACCACTAAATAGATCCCGTATTGAACTGGTAAATTAGTGATCAAAACAATTTTATGCCTTGTTATTGATTATGTTCTCACATGTATAGTTTAATAAGATTCTTATTATTTAATTTTTTGCAATTCTAAAAAAAAGAGATCAAAATTTGATGAAAAAGTAACAGAAATTGTAACGATTCATTACTTGTTGAATAACGATAACGAATTACTTTTATAAAGTAACTTTCCCTTATATGTATAAATAAAGCGTTAAAGATAAAATGGATCTAATCACTTAGACCCGATTGCACCAACATTACTTTGATTTTAAACAAGGCTTAAATTCTGTCTATCTGTGTCTCTTTTTCGGATTTAAAACGAGATAGATAGAGTTTTAAGTCTCGCTTAAAGTCAAAGTAACGTTGGTACAACCGGGCCTTAGTGAGTTTAAAAAAATAAATCATTGCAAAATAAGAATGTATACGATCTACATATATCTCTTCATGTTTAACTTTATATATATTACATTTAATATATATGTATACCTGTAGTAACGCAAAGCTAGCTCCGGTTGATCATTGTAAAAATGATGCATGCCTATACTGGCAATTGCCTCGGTATGAGAAGCGTCCTCTTGCGCGATTACCTTGTAATATTTCATGGACATCGTCGCATTATTCAGACCCTCAAATATGCGGCCCATCTCCGTGAGGATCGTAACATCGTTCGCGAAGTGCTCGAGGCCTCTCTTACATGTATCCAGAGCAGCCACTGGCTGATCGAGCCGAATATAGACTCTGATCAGTCGCAAGACCGTTTCGATGTTTTTATGATCCTTCAACGCCGACTTAAATTGTTGCTCTGCATCTCTTACCAATCCTAAAGTATAATAACACTTTCCCAGTTGAACTTTCCACCACCAATCTTTATATTGACAGACCTGCGTCGCCTGAACAGCCAAATCCAGTGCCTGTGATATATTCAATGAATATATTTTAATATTTAATTTAAAATATTATAATATCTCTATGTGTGATATCTATCAATATAATGTTTATACTCACGTATCTCGCATCATGTTCGTGATAATATATATATTCGAATAATGGTTTTGCTATGCTTTGCTGATTAGCGTATTTAGTTATGTTTAATCGCGATAATTGGATAAATGGTCCACCAGGTTCTGTCAACATTGACGCTGTGCCAAGTCTTGGAAGAAAACTTCGTTTAATCTTTTCTTGATATTACAATTAAGATTACGCGCATACAAATCACAATTTATAATATACCTAACACTGCGCCCTGAACTTGCTGTAATTGGCCTAGCAGTCATTGCTGTTCTCGGTGTTCTCAATGCCTGCTCAATCGATTGAGACATTGCTGCTTGAGTGGCAGGCCGTATTACTCCAGTAACAGGTCTGCCTTTAAGATATCAATATAGGATTTAATTTTTAAATGTATGAATAAAAAAATAATTAGAAAAAAATTGGAATTTTCTCAGATGAACTCTGACATACCGGATTGTGATTTAGGGCGTACTCCTTGACCAGTGTAACTGGTGCCAGGATTTCTCAACGAAGTACCTGGCCTGGGCATCGTTGATATCGCATAATTATCTAATAAGGTCTCGGCGATTCCCTCTTCCTCGCCTTCAATATCGTCCACGTAAACTTGCAGCGTTAAAGCACGCATTTTTAGAACCCATACGGCCTGGTAACGAAGTCATATGTCACGACTGATTCGTAAAGAGAGAGAATTACTATTCTATGCATAAGGAATAAAGAGAAATATACCTGATCCAGCGGATTTTTTCTCAACAAATCCGTGCATATTGCAGCGCATGTCTCGTACTTTTGTCGACTGAATAAACTCAAAGCGGTAAATAATTCCATGTTCAACAAAGCCTGAATTTCCTCGGAATGGAATATGTATCAATTTCGTAGCATTGATCCGATTGTTATAGAGTACTATACTATACCTTGAGCAATCACTTTCCTTACAGCTGTCGTACAAACATAAGCGAAATTATTGATTATTTCAAGTTATTTCTTTACTTTATAGGCGAGCGGTTTACCCCCATTTTCAGTTCACTAATCAACCAACCAACCAACGTTCTAGTGACTGCAAATGACTTAATTCAATTCCTCATATTATTCTGCGAAAAATCTATATATACTTTATTTTGTTACGTAGTCGTTGAATAGTTAAAAATAATTATTTAAAAAATTTTAACTTTGAATGAAAATTCCGAAAAAATTCTGTAAGGTTAATTGGATTAAAATAAACATTTTTTGTCTCTTAGATTTTTTTTATAAAATCAATAGTTTTTGAAATAAAAAAGTCCTTGAGTCCAATCTTGAAAAATAACTATTTTTATGAATTTTTTTCTCACAAACTAATTTTCTAATGAGTATGAATGAAAAACGAAAATATTTGACCTTTCTTAAACTTCTTAAAGTGTAACGAGAATTTTATTTTATTTTACTCTATAGTGTTATTAACAGAAAACTTTATTATCATAATGAGACTCTAAAAGCACGTCTGCGTCCTGACAAAAATAAGAAGTTTTATGAATGTTATTGTTTGCATGAGCGTTTAGTTCAAGTGTTAAGTCTGCTAAATTCAGACATTTCATTAAAAAAAAAAAAGTACAAAATTTTTCACTGAGAAGTCTCATCTTACTATGCTTTTTATTCTATTCGATATGATTTTTTTAAATGCGAGCAATTGAATTTCACTGTGTCCCTTTAGTGGCGATGTTGTGCACTTGAAAATTAGATATGTAGAAGAATGTTTACTAAACGGAAAAAAATGCTTGTGTTATGGAGTTGAAGAAAACATTTTTTGGGCATCTTTTAAGCCGTTTGTAAACGCCTTGCAAAACGTTTACTAAGACTCAATAATTCGCCATATTGAAACAACATTTGTTGAACGGAAAAAAATGCTTGTCTCATGGTATTGAGAAAAGCGTTTGCTATGAAAAGTCTGACAGTGAACTCTCTGCACGAAGGTGCATCAGCATTTACTGAGCATCTTTGAAAAGTGTTTCTTTAGCATTATAGGACTTTCATGAAACGATATGTACTGTATTTTATAAGTGTTCTGAAAGTATTTCAAACTCAATGGTGTTTTGTAAACGTTTTTATAAAGTTTGAAAACGTATAAACTCTTAAAAAATCGTCATCAAACGGTTGTCAATGTTTTATAAAGCAGCGTAAATAAAGATGATGATAATGATAATAAAGATGATCTCAAGGCATAAAAGTGTAATAAAAATATTAAAAACTCGTGTGTTATAAATGTTTATATCCCAGAGCAAATATTTCAATTTTCAAACAAGCGCTGTGCCCAGTCGTAATGCCAATTCACAATTCAGCATTGAAACATTTGATGCATTCAGAATGACAATCGCTCACTAAGCGCTCAGTAAGCTCTTTCATTTGATTGGTCTATATTTTAAAATCTAATGGAATATGCCAATCAAATGAAAGAGCTCATTGAGCGCTCAGTGAACGGTCATGTTTCTGAATGTACCCATTTAGTACGAGATTCCACCGCGAGTTTGTGCACCTATCGCGTATGCAGGTGAAATGTAAAAAAAATGGAAGTTCGTGTTGAGGGCAACACTAAACTGCAAGGATGTAAAAAAAAAAGTAGTCAGGAATATCATTAATAACATTTTTGATTAAAAAATTTTGAAAAAATGACTCATCATATATTTATAATGACCCATCATATGTTTATAAAAGGGCTATCGTTGGAAAGGAGGATCTGTACATTACGAAAATGGTAGGGTGCGACCTTTAAAGTGGTCACAACTTTCTGGCAGCCAGGATAAAGAGAGCGAATAAATGGAACGTATATGATGAACACAAACTCGCACGCATACATTCAACCATCAGTTATTGCGTCCTTAATCATAGTCCGGAGCCGGGCTCAGCTCCTATCTTGAACTCGCTTTCGCCGGCTGGAGCCGGCGAATTTTCTAAAACACTAGCAACCCTCATTTTGTAGCAGTTTTTTAAAGGCAACCCTATTCCGTAAAGAGTAAACATTAAGCTACGACCTAGTGCAAAAATTATTGAACTATGCAATGGGTATATTTAATGAACAAAAATTCATTCATTACTCACCTTCTTTATCCTAGCTGCCAAAGGGTTGTGACCACTTTAAAGATGGCACCCTACCATTTTCGTAATCTACAGATCCTCCTCTTTCCAACGGTACCCCTTTTATAAACATACGCGATGGATCATTTTTTCAAAATTTTTTAATCAAAAACGTAGTTACTAATATTCCTGACCACTTTTTTTTAGATACTTTTGCGGTTTAGTGTTATCCTCAATACAAACTTCGATTTTTTTTACATTTCATCTGCATACGCGATAGGTGTACAAACTCGGGGTGGGATCTTGGACTAATTTGAGACCGCTCACGCGCCGTAGACGCGACTTCAAAGCTTTATTATAATAAAGTTTTTACTGTCGATAATAGTACAGATCGAAATAAAATAAAATTCTTGTCATAGTCTAAGAGCTTGCGCACAATATAACTAAGAAAGAATATTCCTCCATTATGCGCAGAGCCTAAGATTGGCCGAATATATTCGCTTTTTTTTCATATTGATTGAATGATTAATTTGTGAGAAAAATAATCATAAAAATAATCATTTTTCAAGAACAAACATTTTTAAATAAAAAACTATTGATTTTATCAAAAAGTTTAAGAGACAAAAAGTGTTCATTTTGATCCAATTAAGCTTACAGAATTTTTTCGGAATTTTTCTTCGAAAAGTTAAAAAGTTTTAAAAAAAAAGTGTATATATATAGATGTTTTTTCGCAAAATAATATAAAGAATCGAGTTATAAGCCAGCCACTAGAACATTGATTAGTCACCCAGATAGTAATGTGTCTGTCTTGTTGCTGACATGTTTACTAAGTATGTTGCTACTAGAATTGCAGCAACTGAGTCCTCATTTGTTAGCAACTTGATGATATGATGATACCTTCACAATATAATAACATTGAATAACAAATTGCTAACATTTAAAATCGTTATCATTAAAATTCATACTATTTCCATCATATTGCCATAATAATATGCAGCATTATACAATGCTGTCATATTGTTGACAATGCAAGATAACAATGGATGCATACAGAACGTCAACCGCTCACTGAGCGCTCAATGAACTCTTTCATCTGATTGGCATATTCCATTAGATCCTAAAATATAGACCAATCGAGCGGTCGTGCATCTAGAAGCTAAGTGAGTTCTTGTATCTGTGTGGTCTATATTTTTAGATCTAATGGAATATGCCAATCAGAAGCACAATTGCTCACTGAGTTCACTGAGCGCTCAGTGAACAATTGTGCTTCTGGATGCACCAATTGACTGCGTTCAGCGACTCAACAGTTGAATGAGAGCTCGCTGTATTTTTTTAGATCATCCAATCAGCATTAGATCTGAAAGAATACACCAATAGCAGCGAGCACTCATTCAACTGTTGAGTCCGCTGAACGCAACAATTTATGCAGCTCTCTTGCTGTTAAACTGCTGCAATATATATATATGTGTGCGTGCGTGCGTGCGTGCGTGTGTGTGTATACACATTGGCTGCGTTCGAAAACGTCGCTCGGATGCCTTCGATGCCTCATCGGAGTCATCATCTGTCCTTGTTTAACATTAAATGTTAAACAAGAACGGATAATGGGCACGTTCAAGTCGACAAAGCGGCTAGGTCTGCTCGCCAAGCAATTAAATATGATTGGTTGGATCTACAAGTGAGAATCAATTATGCTCATTCGCTCGGCAAGCATGCCTAGTCGCTTTGCTGTCTTGAACTCGCCCAATGACTCCGAGGCATTGGAGGCATCCGAGCGACGTTTCCGAACGCAGCCAATTGTCTGCATGTTGCTATAATGTCGGTATATTCGAAATCGTTGAAGACAAATTTATGGCAAGTTGCATCATACATAAGCAATCATAGATTTGTACCATTGTGCTGCTTAGTAAACGAGAATGGATTAAAATGGATAGAAATTTTTTCTATCCGAATGCGTAATTTAAATAGCGAATATTTTTTTTTAATTTAATTGGATTTAATTGGATTCAATTAGATTCAATTGGATGCAATTGGATCGAAAAACTGCATTTCTATTCAAAATTTTGAATTGAACAGTATTCACATATTGAACACAGATGCACAGAAAAAGCTAATATTATTTTTAGATTGAAAGGCATAGAGATATGATAGGAATTACATGTTCCTATAAATGAATAAAAATGCATTCAAGATTGAAAAGCATTTTAACATTCATGAATCAATATTTCTGAAAATCTGAATCCATTTCATTTCATTTCAATCCATTCTCATTTGCTGGGTAATAATAATTAAGATAGTAATCGATGCAATTGGTATGATTGGTATTTGTTTTTAATCATGAGAAATGAATATATATCATGGCGAATTTTATTTAATTGATATATACATCAATGATATATCAATGATACATACATATACATCACATACACAGTGGAAGACTATGGATATATATTAATATTTCATGTAATCCTTGACGATATTCGACGATTTCTAGGAACGTGAATGGATAAAATTATCAGATATATTCCTGATATGCTTTTGATATACGAAACAAATTTTTTCATTTATTAGAAAATTGTAATTGCGATGGCATTTATTGATAAAAATCGTCCAAGGTAAGTGAAAAAATAATCAACTGTTATTGTGGCAATTTATATATACATAGTTATTATTTATTATGTATATGAGCATTACCATTGTAGTATACAAGAAGCATTCGAACGATTTTTCGGGAACAAAACTATACAAGAGCAATGTACCGAGCAATCTTTGACACGTTTACACAATGTTTTTTTGGTAACTAAATGTTTTTCTTCGCAAAAATGCTTTTTATGATTTTTTTTCTTATAATTGGATACAGACAACAGAGAATGGGGAGGTGGATTCTTCTCAACTATATGATGCTTTTCGTAACATCCTCGAAATAAAAATATCGCAGGACGAATTTCAAGTTTTCTTCAATAAAGTTAGTTAATCTCTACCTTCTTTCAATTTAAAAAAAATGTTTTTAAAAATATAATTGTCAATTCAGATAGATACAAGACTTAAAGGCAAAGTAATATGGGATGAATTCATTTCTTACTTGCTGATAGAATTTCGGGATATAGACACATATTTGAGGTCGCAAATGTTGGAAACACCATTAACGAGTTTACCCAAATTGTTAAGAACGCGTCATCGTACTCCTGTGTGCAGAATTACATTTTGCCCGGAAGTTTTGCCAGTATGCGGTCAACATTAAAAATTTGCCTGGTGAAACATTTCTTAGAATTGTTCTATAATTTTTCAGTTAGAATTCCATATAAATTTCAGAATTTTTCAAAATTTTTATACAATTTTATTAACTTTTTACAAAATTTCGCCCCGATTTTAATAGGCCCCGCATATTAAAGTAAGCGTTTTTGGTATTAAATGATAGATTTTATGATGACATTTGCATCCCTATAAACTTCAGTCCTCTATCTCGAGCCGTTCAAAAGTTATTTAGGTGTCTCGGTACTTTTTCCTCGCCCTGTGCACACACACACACACACACACACACACACACACACACGCACACGCACACGCACACACGCACACGCACACGCACACGCACGCGCACGCACGCACGCACGCACGCACGCACGCAAGGTGTTTTATTTTAAATGATATAATCGATTATCTCACGAATTAATGATTTTATTGAAAAATTTTTCGAACGAAAATTGCATGGCTTGAAGAAAAACACATGATGGAAATGTGGACCTTGACCTTGAGTGACCTTGTCAAAATCAGGTCAAGGTCATTAATATTTTTTGAAATAGAAACTCCTATTTTTTTATTATATAGCTTATCTCAAGAGCTTTTCAAAACACTATAATAAAGTTACTTTTCATTAAGTACTTGTTAAATTATAAGGCAAAACCGATCACTGATCCTCCCAGCAAAGAGAATAGATTAAAATGGATTGAAGTTTTTTCCTACCCAAATACATATTTTAAATAGCGAATACTTTTTTTGGATTTAATTGGATTCAATTGAATTCAATTAAATTTAATTGGATGCAATTGGATTGAAAAACTGCATTTCCTATTCAAAATTTTGAATTGGACAGTATTCACAATGCACAGAAAAAGCTAATATTATTTTTAGATTGAAAGGCATAGAGATATGCTCCATGTAATTCCTATAAATGAATAAAAATGCATTCAGGATTGAAAAGCATTCATTTTAACATTCGTGAATTAATATTTCTGAAAATCTGAATCCATTTCAATTCATTTCAATCCATTCTCGTTTGCTGGACGATTAAGGTAAGATCGGGACTAATCCAGCCAACTAAGGCAAAGCCGATCACTGATCCGACCAATTAAGGCAAGATCGGGACTGATCCGGCGAACTAAGGCAAGACCGATCATTGATCTATTGATCAGTATCCTGTATCAATGGCCAACTAAGATAAGACACATGTCCGCACGCGTGAGCATATGCCAAGTAGTATGGATAAATCGCGAAGACGTGTAAGAATCCCGCTCATACGCGCATGCGTACATAGATAACGCCGGCAGTAACTTTTAAGCTCCATAACTCGGAAAGTACTCAATGAAACGTAACTTCATTATAGTGTTTTGAAAAGCTTTCAAAATAAGCTACAAGAATATATAATAAACAATAGGGATTTCTATTTAAAAAAACATTAATGATCTTGATCAGATTTTGGTCACTCAAGATCAAATCCACATTTCCATCATGTGTC